TTGCTCCTCCGCTCCACTCCCCCACCTCACCCGTTTTCTTTTCATTTCGCCTCGCGGCCATAAAGTTAATGAAATTTTTTGTATGACACAAATGGTATAACAATTTCAAGGCCGGTGTTACTGCTGTGCATTTTCTACCGGACCAAAATGGTGGTGTTGGTGGTGAAGAAACAGAGTATTGTTCTATTATCTTTGAAATCATTATCTGCCGCTGTAATGTTACATTTGTTTCTTTTTCCGCAAAAGCTTTTTTTGTTGTTGTTGTTATTTTTGCTCATTGAATTTATTGTTTTGAAAAGTATGTGTAGCGTAAAAATCCTGCGAAAATGTATTCAAGACGAAGTATGGAATTGGATATATGGAAGAGAAAAGCAAAAAAAAATTTTTTTGTTTGGAATTTTACAGGCCAGACGATATAAAGTGTTCATCCCAAAGAATTTAAAGCATTAGCTTTTATTTTGGGAGAGCGTAATGTCGCTACCATCGCCTACTGGAAGTCCATCAAGGCATATCACTGTTGTCGACGTTTATGATCTGGCCGCATCTGTTGGTAAAGATTTTGAGAAACTAATCGAACAGTTTGGCGATGAAAGTGTACGACAAATTATGCCAAAAGTTAGTTTTTGATAATTTTTTAAACTTATGCTGTTTTTTTCTTTAACTTTTCTATTTTGAACTTTATTGTTAACTTCAAAAAGAAAAGACTATGCCATGTCGCAATTCTATACTTTTCCTTTTTTCTTTTTGTTGAAATCTTTTTTGCGTTAAACGACTTTTTTTCTACTTACATGTGAATTATTTTGAACGGCACGTATAAGCGGTTTTTTTTATATTAAAAAATATATATATTAAGTAATTTACCTATACCAATTTAATTGGTGGAGCCTTTTTGGAGAAGAAAATTTTTTTGCAGGTTATATCTGCTCTAGAGACTTTAGAAGCTCTCGCTAATAAAAATGAAAGGGAAAATGATGAGATTCTTACATTAAGACAAACTGTTGAAAGGCTAGAACATGAGAAGCACGCAAAAAACCAAGATCGTTTAAAGTTTGAAATGGTAAGGACTATTTTGCTTTAAACAGATAGGTGGTCTACCAGATGGCCTGTTAGATTCTGTTCTATTAGACTGTAATGCTCGATGAATTAAAGAGAAATTTCCAATTTTTTAAGGAGTTGGAAGCCGTCGAAGAAAATTATCGGAAAGAAATTGACGATCTTTGGAAAATGGTTAAAAGTTTACAAGCTGAAAACCGACAGTTGAGTAGTAGCGTGAAAGAAAATGCATCAAATATACTTTCTTCCGGTAATTCTGCTTTTTCTACTTGAAAGCGAAATGAACAAAGGAAGCGGAGTTTAGAAGTTATGATCAATAATTTTTGCAGCTCCTCGAGACGAAGATCTGGTTGTCATGATCGAACTGAAGGAGCTGTCAAATAAGCAGAAGGAACAGATAAAAGAATTACAAAAAGACGTTGATGCATACTCATGTGAAGTGGAAAATGTCAGTTTACGTGACACATTCTTCACTTTCATTTTACTTTTCTTTGGTTCCAATAGACCATTATAAATTTCAAAATTTAGCTTTACTCTTACTTTAGCTTCACAATAGTATTGAGAAACTGATCAGACAGAACGAGGAACTGTTACGTAAAAATGCTTCACTACAAAAGCAGGGCCGTATGCTCGTAGAAGAGAAAAGCGAAATTATACGGCGGTTACAAAGCGCTGAGGAATCTAACTTCAAATTAGCCAAACTATTTAAGGATGCGACACGCCAGTGCAAGGATTTGCAGGAGATACATTTTGTATGCTGCTGATTTTTTACTTAATAGCTTTATGATGTACCTTTCTCACTTGAAGAAAAAAAAACATTCTAGCGACTGATTTTTTCCAGAAGGCTACTGAGTTTATAAATATAGCTTTTGCTTATCAGGAACCTCTATCTTTTAGAGTTAAAAAATCTGCTAGATGCTTCATCTAACAGTAACGAATTATAGGCAGTATTTTTAGGAAGAAAATGACAATTCGCCTCACTTTTCTGTGGCGGAATTACGAGAGGTTTTACAAGAAAAAAATATGCTGAAGGGCCGAGTAATGGAGCTTGAAGAAGAGCTAGAGCAATTGAGACCTCGAAATTCTGAAAATGCTTCAGACAGCGCGGAAGAAGTTAACCCAGCAACACAAATTTCGAGGTTTTTGATTTTTACGAGCTATAATTTTGTATTTCCTTGTGACCAACAGCAGGTTCTTCTACTCATTGGATCACTGTTTATTGTTTCCAAGTTAAATTTTTATTTGCCGTATTATTTTGAACTTTAAATATGTAAAAAATTAGAAAAAAATTTTCTTTTTTCTAATGTGAAGGACGTGAACAATAGGGAGGTTTATGCTGGAAGCATTTGTAAGAATTCCTATTTTAGCAAGTCAGAAGATGACGAATGCGTCGTTTATGGTCCAATTAATAAGGAACCTGATGAAAAGTTGTACCCGTGGAAATACGAAAGGAAAGACAGTGGTGTTAGAAGATTGTCAGTTGTTTTGCCTTACTATAATATAGCTCTAATATAGCAATTTCATTTTTTTGAATAGCCTCATTTACTGCAAAGTCATAATGTGTTGAGCTACAAACACCTACTATCTATAGGTTTTTCATGCCGAATTATCCTACGTGTTTTTTTTTTTCATTTGATTGCTTTTTAAGATTGCTTCATTTGGGCATTATTTTTCAGCTTCCGATTTGTCAAGGAAGGTTTAAATGGAGGAAATCGTAGTCCTCAGCGTGGTTCTTCTGCAAGTCCAGTAATGCCACGACCTATTCCTTCTCGAGCTAGCCCGCTATTGGTGCATCGCACTTAAATATTTGCGCTTTTTCCTTTCCGTTTGTACATCAGTTTCAGTGATCTTTGTCTTCTTCCTTCACTTTAATATTTCATTTCCTTATTTTTTATTTTGTTTTTATTTTTTTGCCTTCACGCATAACCTAGAGCTTTGTTTTTAATTAAGATCAAAATTAAGTTTACGGTACAGTTCAAATGCATTTTAGCCAATTTTTATAATTCGTAATCCTTTTAGCAGTAGTAAGCCCGTTCTTGTATTTGGCTATATGCAACTGTACGTTAATAGAGTGCTGGCACTTCTCTGCTTTAGCTAAGCAATTTATTAAATTATAAGTCTATGTGTGAAATTCAGCGAAGCAGGACTTCTAGTAAAGTCATTTGCTGTGTATTTTTTTTTAACTTTTTTATATCGCTCTTCTCACCCTTGAAATCCTGTTAAAAACTATGTTGCATAACACTTTTTATACTAAACAGTCCCAACATCGATATCCGGGTTTTAACAAACTTCTTCCGCTCTTTTCTGATAAGTCTGTGATCTGTAACTATAGTTTTATGAATTTAAAAATTTAAGTTTTTTAACTGAAAAGATTATTTATTTTTTCTTTGGCTGCTTTGCATTTTTCTTCAAAAAAGTTTTTTTTGTTGTGGAGATGACCATTGTGAACTTGAAGTTTTGGTAGTGTTATCCCTATCTGAAGGGTGTTCTTTTTTTATTGAGCATAAATTTGAGGAGCGGGTTAGATCTGCGTTTTTAGCCGGCTTCTTAGATTTTATGTCTGTTGCTTTGTTGTTCTCGATGGTAAGTTTTATATGTAATTAAGTGTTGCATTCGTGTAAACTGATTGATGAAGCTTCTTGATCTTGTATAGCATTTAAGTTAATTTTTGAATACTGTTTTTAATTCTGGATTGCAATTTCGGCGTGATTTTCTTCTGTTGATTTAAACCGGGTTGTGATTTGCTGCAGTATCATATTTTCGTTCTGAATTTCTGTGTGCTTTTCAATCTGCCCGAAATTTTTGGGTTTTTTGTTTTCTAAGTACGTCAGTTT